TGCGGAAGTCTACAACTCAATCCCAAAACCCGGAAACTCACGGGAAACACAGGCTAATAGAATTACCATAAGTACTCTAATCTCCAGAATATCTACATCAAAAGTATGATAGGATAATAGCTCTACAACTAGAATAAGGAAGAAGACTCTTCGGTTTGCGGACGCTGCAGATATACCTCGAAGTCTCCGTGTATCTCCTCGCCTCAAGGATAGTGCGCCTGAGAAGAGGTACCTGGATCTGCACATGAAAAAATGCGCAGGAAGCGCATGAGTACACCACAACGGTACTTAGTAAGTGCCAAGCCTAACCTCGGTTGGGTAGTGACGAGGAAGGTCAGGGCCCGACTGAGATAAAATGTAATATTAATTAACAGTATGAAAATCTGACAGAAATAATAAGTACAACAGTGAGATAAGGCAGGTCAACGAGGTAATAATAACTACAAAAGACAGAGTAAACACAAAGTAAATACAGCTCAATGTCAATGATACCAATGAGGGTCTCCCCGGGATACCGTCCTCTAGCCCTTTTCTCAACTGTCCAGTGGATCTCCGGGGATACCGTCCCGTAGCCCAACTCATGTACAAAACCGAAGGATCTCCCGGGATACCGACCCGTAGTCCAACCATCCATGTGCAGGGGGATCTATTGGGAATCTAACCCGCAGTCCCAAAGTAAAAATGCAGGGGGATCTACCGGGAATCGAACCCGTAGTCCCAAAGTAAAAGTGCAGGGGGATCTACCGGGAATCGAACTCGTAGTCCCAAAGTAAACAGACAGGGGGGGAGCTACCGAAATTCCACATCCGTAGTCCCAATATAAATGCACAACCACAGCCACAAATATACCAAGGAATGAAGTACGAAATACAAACACAGATAGAACTAGCCTAGCATGCTTCACGTAGAACAGTCAAAACAACTTAAGCAAATAGGCAATCAATTCAACTAACATGCTTTTCCTAATCTAGCACAAGTTATAATTTCAAGTAGAATAAGGCAAGTATGGAAGAAACTAAATCTTAATAACTTAAGTAAAAACTGGAATTTCATCAATCGGCTCAAGTACGCGCTCGTCTCCTCACGTACAAGGCACCCAAAAATCAAGTAACAATCCTAAGGGGAAAGGTCCCCCACACAAGGTTAGACAAGCCACTTACCTCGAATCAGCACCAAAATCAACTCGAAATCACACTTTTGCCACGAGAATCCGACTCCAAATGGCCCAAATCTATTCAATTCAATTACATATTGTAAGTAATATTGCAAACAACTGATTCCACTATTAAATGTAAAGCTAGGGCGCGAAAATAGGTAAATTGACCAAAATGCCCCTCAGGCCAACGTCTCAGAATCGAATAATTTTTACATTTTCAGAACCCTCGTACTCTCACGAGTCTAACCATATAAAAATCTCCCAAATCGGAGGTCATATGCCCACTCAAAACTCAATAGTTTGGTCTAAGAAGTTTTACCCCAAATTCTTCCAATTTGATCCCAAATTCGAATTTTAATGATGGATTTAACTACAAAATAATGAAATATAACTAGAAGGGATTAAAGAAACGTTATCCAATAATCTCCTCTTCAAAATCCTCTGGAAATCGCCCTTACCCGAGCTCAAATTGATTTTTCTAACTTATGAAATCAAACCCTCAAAATTTCTATATCTGCAAAGGTATTTCCGCTTCTGCGGACAAGGGACCGCTTCTGCGGTCCCGCTTCTGCAGCCAGTTTACCGCTTCTGCGGTTTTCATTAAATTCCAGGCTTCCGCTTCTGCGGTCTTAAACCGCACCTGAGGTTGCCGCTTCTGCGGTACTCTTACCGCTTCTGCGGTTTCTCACAAAGGACCAGGGCCGCATCCGCGATAGAGGCCTCGCAGGTGCGTAACCGCATCTGCGGTAGATCTTCCGCACATGCGAAAAAAACTGAGGGAGCCCAAATCCGCTCTTACGATGGTCAGGACGCTTCTGCGGCTCCGCACCTGCGGAACCCAAACCGCAGGTGCGGTTATGACAGATACCAGCAGGTCTTCAGCAACTCTTCAACTTCAAAACCTTCCGTCACCCATCCGAATTCATCCCGAGGCCCCTGGGACCTCAACCAAAAGCACCAATAACACCTAATACCTCATTCAAACTTGTTCCAATCCTTAAACGACCTAAAACAACACCGGAAACCCGATTTAATCAATGATTCAAGCCTAAGAACTTCAAATTTCTTCCAAATACGCTTTCGATCAAAAACCTAACCAAAACACGTTCGAATGACCTGAAACTTTGCACACACATCCCAAATGACATGACGGAGCTACTACAACTTCCGGAATTCCAATCCGACCCTCGGATCAAAAACTCACTATCGGACCGGAAACTTCAAAAACTCAAACTTCGGCATTTCAAGCCTACATGAGCTACGGACTTCCAAAATACATTCTGAACACGCTCCCAACCCCGAAATCACCTAAAAGAGCTAACGGGACCGTCAGATTTATATTCTGAGGTCGTCTTCAAACTGTTCCGACTACGTACCACTTTTCCACACTTAAGCTCTCATTTAGGGACTAAGTGTCCCAAAACACTCTGAATCCAAACACCGAACGTCCCAACAAACCAAAATAGCAGAAATGAACTTAGGGGAAGCAGTTAATGGGGGATCGCGGCGTAAATTCCAAAAACGACCGGTCGGGTCGTTACAGCTTATGGCCTCAATATCGAGCTAGTGAGAGAGCATATCTTCCTGCTACTTTTTTCACAATGTCTCAGCAGGAAAAGGACTTATTTTATGAAGTACTACAAAATGCCAAGTTTCCAAATGGCTATGCATCTAATATTTCACGTTGCGGTCGCAAACGAAAGTTATCTGGGCTAAAAACTCACGATTGTCATGTTATAATGCAAGAACTTCTTCCTCTTGCCTTGCGGAGATTAGTAGATAAAAGAGTAAGTTCAATTTTAATTGAACTATGCACATTCTTTCGTGTTTTGTGTAGCAAAGAGCTAAAACTAGAAGAGTTAAACCTACTTGAAGAATAAATCCCAGAAACATTGTCTACTATGGAGAAACTCTTCCTCCCAGGATTCTTTACTGTTATGATACACTTGGTTATTCACTTGGCAACTGAGGCTAAACATGTAGGTCCAGTACATTATCGCTGGATGTATCCAATTGAGAGGTATGTAGAATATCACTGAATCTTTGTTATATGTCTTTAGTTATTAAATACTCTAATATCAAACTAATAACATTACTTTGTTCCATAGGTATTTGGGTACTTTAAAATCATATGTTCGTAATCGTGCATGTCCAGAAGGTTCAATAGCGGAAGCATACATAGCAAATAAGTGTATGGCATTCTTCTCACGATATTCAGAGGGTGGAGATTCAAGGTCTTATTGTTCAAGAAAATGGAGTGATGAAATTGAGCATGCAACTAATAAAGAAGAATCTCTTTTTCCTACTGTTGGGGAGTCGTACAGTGGAGTAGATGTATTTGAGTTGGATGACAAAACATGGTTGCAAGCACATCGGCATGTGCTTTTCAATTGTGAATCAGAAGTGGTTGAGAATTATAAAAAGTAAGTGTTATATATATTATTTAATATATATTACTTATTTGATAACAAAATTGATATATACGAGTTACATGTATAGGGAACATATTGCTGAAATCAAAAGAGCACATCGTAAGCGTCGTTTGACACAACATCAACTTGATCGTGTGCATTTCGATACATTTCATGAGTGGTTCAAGGAGCAAGTAAGTAGTAGGACTAAGTCATTTTTACGTTAAATTATTATCCTTGTACAAATATCCACATTTATAGTTGTATCTTTTATTTGGTTAGGTAAAGGAGTTGGAAGCCACATCTAACATCTTAAAGGATGTTAAAGTCCTAGCACAAGGACCGAGTTACATTGCAAAAAGATTCAGTGCATTCGATGTTAATAATGGGTATCGATTCCGAACAAAACAAAGTGAAGAGTTCAATGTGACAAAAAATAGTGGTGTTATGGTCGTTTCAAAGACTGAAAGTTATGCAAGTACAAGTGATAATACTCCAAAATATGCAAATATCACATATTATGGCAGATTGAATGATATTGTGGAGTTAAACTACTATGTGAAATTTAAGGTCATCTTATTTAAGTGTGATTGGGTTTATATAACCAAAGGTAGAGGCATTAAGGAAGATGAATTGGGTTTCACACTTGTGAATTTCACACACCTGACTGACTCTGGCGATCGAGAACGTCATGAGCCCTTTATTTTTGCAGAACAAGCTCAACAAGTAATATTTGTGCAAGATCCTCAAGATTATGAATGGTTTGTCCCTAGGTTAATTAAACCTCGAGATATTTTTAATATGGGAGAGGAAAATAGTGTGCAGTTTGAGTCATCAACGCAAAGTGATGCCACTGACTTGGCTCTTTTAGAAAATGCTTGTGTTTTAGAAGATGAGTATAATGATTGGGTATGAAGTGGTGTCGATGGGATAATAATTGATACAAACGTAGATTCTCAACCTTCTCCAGATGATGGTGAAGCTAATGTTGAGCGAGAAAATAACATAGAAAATGAATGTGATTCTGAATAAGATAGGTGGTACTTATAGAATATTTTTGGTGCAAGTGTTATGTAATAAACTCTAAGGGTGTTATTTTTTTGCTTCAGAACATTGAATATGGATGTTTGAGTGAATTTATTGTGCTTTCTTCTACTTATATTTTGCTTATTGTATCCATTTAAATGTGATATTATAAGGTAGTACTATAACTTGATAATTATTTTCCTAGTGCATAAATAACTCTTATCTCTAGAACAATATTTGTCGCAAGGCTTTGTTTGCGTTACCCGAGTTGTTGATATTTTTCACATATTGAGATTTGGATGATGCTTCCTCATGTTTTGCAAGTGGCCTGCTGATTTGTTGGGGTCAGTCTAGTACTAATATAGCGTAATGCAGCTAGATAATTTTTTTATTTTGGAGAAGGAACTATGCGAACTAGAGGTCGCAACCGACTGGTAATTGAACAAGATGGCGATGAAGATGTGCGACCTTATACTGAGCATTTGATGGATGGTCAAAACCATTCTGCAACCCAGCCTTATATTGAGCAGTTGATGGATAATCAGAACTCTTCTGAAGACCAGGCACATGATGATCAATTTTGTGATTTGAATAGTCCTGCTGGTGGTATTGAAGTTCAACAAAATGATGATGAATCAGGTAACACTTTTCTCTGGAATCATTTTCAAATATTAATTGTTTAAGAGAATTAGAAAGAACTTCAAGCCCAGACCTACCACTTTTCTCTGGAATCATTTTCAAATCTTAATATATCTACTACTAGTATATTTCTTTGTGACAATAATGAATGTGAACTTAATATATGTACATATTCTTTTTTTAGAATTCCAACTCTTTATAATTTCATTGGAGAATATATATATAAGGAGTATGATCACACCTACTGATTCAATATATCCCCCCCTCTCTCTCTCTCTCTCTCTCTCTCTCTCTATATATATATATATATATATATATATATATATATATATATATATATATATTGGCTAGCAAATACAATTANGAATTTTCAAGATAGATAAAAAATTTTCATGTTGACTTGTTTGGTTTTCGTTACTCTTGACTCTTGAGTATGATGATGATTGAGGAGTCAAACTGTTCAACTTTTGGAATACGATTAATTTGGAATCGAGCTGGAAAGTTCCTAAAAAACACGATACTACTAGACTTCCTATCGATGGATACTTACTTCCCACCACAACCTTTGGTGATAGTATTTTTCACATTCATTTTCAGATTTCCTGACGTAGGTCAGATTTGTTAAAGAAAAAACTGTACTAGCTTAGATTATAATTAAGCACAGCAGTTACACAAACTATGACCTCCTAACTACTAAGAAGTTAGCACACAAGAATTAAAAACCACGTAGCCTCGATAGATGACTACATTCTGATATTACTTGTAGTCATCTATTGCACCTAGAGTGCCAAGTATGGCGTAAATTTCAATTGCATGTAGTATGGAATTCATTTGCAGAGTTAACACATGGCATAATACGGGCAGCATTATAGAAGGGATGACTACAAGTAATATCAGAATGTAGTCATCTATCTGTCAAGGTTTGAAATAACTACAAGTAATAAATAACAAAGTTCTCAAGCTGCTGCTGCCCATCTTGCTTTGTTACTGTCACTGTCTTTGATCGAGCTTCAATTTTATTTATTCCATCAAGCTGCTGCCTCGATAAAGGAATGAAATCATATAAGTTTGAAATCATTTGTTATTTAACAGATTTAACCATATAAGTGTTTGCCATTTGATGACCTTTGAATCTTCTATTCTAGGTAATTTGGAGCCAAAAAAGGTTCGTGGGCCTACTTTACTAAAAGATATTTGGAAACTTCCTCCGGGGAAGGTAGTTGATGTGCCGTTTAATAATCGTAACCAAGCTATTGGGGAAAAAGGTCGAAAGCTTGCTAGCTTTCTAGGAATCATTGCGAGAACTCCAGAACTAACACCTTTACATGTAGGTGATTGGAGAAATTTTGACAAGGAGGAAAAGAAGAAATTGGTGGATTTTGTGAGTTTATGGAGTAGTTATTATTATTATTTATTTATTTATTATTATTATATGAATGGGTTCAATCTTTTATACATGATATTTTTTTCTAAATATTGGCTTTAATTTTTTTTAGAAGAAGTTCTCTATCCCAAGACGAGGAGAAGCTTATGTCCTAAAGTCACTAGGAAAGAGATGGAAAGATTACAAGTGTGAGATAAAAGGTGAGTATTTGCGAAAATATAAGACTAAAGACCTTTTGCTGAAAAATAAACCAAGTCGCATACCGAGGGATCAATGGAGTGGTCTTGTCGCTTATTGGCTTTCAGATAAAGCTAGTGTTTTAATTTTAGTTATTCTCAATTTTTATGTATAATTTATAAGATATCATTTTAATATTTCAACGACAGAGGCGTTTCCAAGCAAATAGAAATAATAGGGCCAATCAAAAGATGCCTCACACAGGAGGATCCAAAAGTATTGCTACCTTGATGGATGAGCAGGTAAACTTGTTCAAATTACTAACTATAATGTTTTTTTTTTCACGCATATCTTACATCAATTTTATTGTATTAGGCTGTAAATGGGATAGAGCCTACACGCGCACAAGTTTTCATATTAACTCATACAAAACGTAAGGATGGTAGACCACTGGATGATGATTCTGTCAAGGCAATTGTAAGATTTCTTTTTTTTATTTTATTTTCTTAATTGGGAAATAGTTAGGAAAAACGTAAAAGCGAATAAATGAATTCCAAATTGGATTTATGTATTTTATGGCCAGGAAATGATAAATGAAAGGACGAACAATAGTGAGAGCTCTACCGACCAACCTCCTCGCGCTGTTGCTTGGGAAGGCGATGTGTATTCTCAGGTGTTCCGAAATGACAAAAGTGGATATGTTCGTGGTTTAGGACTTGGTCCAACTCCTTCTATTCTATGGGTTAGTAGATCTTACTTAGAAAATATTGTTGGAGACGATTCGTCTAATGAAGCTGTCCAAAGGTTAACACAAGAGATAACCGAGTTAAAGGATAAACACAATGAAGAAATAAATCTGATGAAACAAAATCAGGAGAAGATGCAATCAGAATTACTCGAAATGCGACAATTGATGCGCAAATATGCTTCCAATGAATCTATGCCTCAAAATATCAATGGCACCTCAATTGAATAGGTAACTCGATTTTATAAGTTATGTACATTATTAATGAAGTTTTAATCCTATAAAAGTATTGTTATCTAGTGTCTTAATATTTATCAGGTCCCTGCTGCCAATAGTGGCCATGAACGAGTACCACAAACATCAAGGATACCTAATGTTGCTGAAAATACTTCAATGTCTCATGGTACTACTCATCTTTATCCTTCGGCAAACTACTATTTGAGTTTTCTATTTTTTGATCAACTTCTGCAGTTTTCATCCTTCTTCTACAAATTCTCGCGAACTTCTTCAAACCTTATTCATCTTCACCTTTCTTCTTGACTCTAATATTCTTCTCCATCTCTGATTAAGTCATCCCTTGCGCCAGTTAGCTGAATCCGTGCGTGCCAGCTGAAGTAGTAATAGTTAGCCTATTTGAAAGTTACTATAGTGTTCCATTAATTCTAGTTGAAAGAGTAGAGTTATAGGATTCTAGCTGAATTCTACTTAATCTGATATCATTGGTTGCCTTGCTTGATCGAAATAATGTCTATATAGTGTGCTGTAAATATAGAGTTTAGTGATTTGGAACTTACCAAGACATCGAGCAAATTCCTGTCCTCCAAAGTGATAGTTGGTGACGTTATGTCCAGCTGCTGCTGCTCACCAGTTGTAAGTGTACCTACAACTCCTGCTGTGATTGCATTCTGCTGCTGCTGTCCGGAATTGTTAGGTGTTGTTGCTCGTCGACCATCAGCATTAGTACCAGCTGTAGTAAGCTGTTGCTGCTGCACATAGTGGCTTGAAACATCACCTTCAGTAATCTGATTATTTGGGGGTTCTAGGTTAGCATCTTTGACAAAGATAAGTCTAACAATAATATCAAATAGCAGATATCCTAGACCTAGGCGGCGTTCTTCCTCTAGGTGGACTCCTGTAACATCTAGGTGACCTTCTGTATCTCGAATATCTTTCAAAAAAGCCAAACAGTTAGGTGGATATGTATATTAATGAGAAAAAGTTTCTACTTCAATTCCTGTAAAAGTTAGATAGGATTGTGCTGCTCACCTGTCACCATAACGGTATGGCCTAACAGGGGACCGATCAGGAGATCGACTCTTGTATCTACGAACATAAGAGTAACGCTCACTAAAGCCCCTTCCCCTCCTGATGCGCTTGGGAGATCCATCCACTGAAGCGCTTCTTGAAGAGCTCCTTCCTGGAGATCTTGCCCTACGACCTGCACTTACAGGACTTCTTGAATAACTGCGTCTATTGTTTCTGCTAGGAACCCTACCTGGACTTCGGCTTGGGCTTCGTCTAGAAGGTACCCTACCCGAACTTCTGCTTGCACTCCGCCGAGAAGACCTAACAGGGCTTCTGCTTGGGCTCCTTCCTGAAGGCCTAACCCTAGTAGGAACCCTGCCCGAACTTTTGCTTATACTCCTCCGCGAAGACCTAACAGGACTTCTGCTTGGGCTCCTTAGAGAAGGCCTAACAGGGCTTCTACTTGGAAGAGTTGCTGCTGTCTGAAATTTGCTTCCAGCTTCTGCATTTTTTATTGCAGCAACCACCACAAAAATTGGATCTTTGATGTCATGCTGCTGCTGCTCACCAGTGCATTCAATCCCATTGTGTTCTCTCTCTCTATATATGTCCAATGTCTTCTTTGTTTACCACAATCACAATCAAATCAATTAGCATGTTTTCTCCTCTGTTTTGCAATCATAAATCACCAGTTTAACATCCCATTGAACAAAAAAAATGGCATTAGTCCTCCAATCTTCAAGTTTCTTAAATTCTTGCAGTACTTCTGTTCCCTCAACATCATCTTGTAGTTGCAAAAGAGAATTGATTAGAGCGAATATTAATATCCCAAATAATCATACATTTAAAATCTCCCTTCCCAGTAGGAGAAGAAGTGCATTCAATCCCATTGTTTCCTTCAGCAGAACCCTGCCTCCTATTTCGTGGAGGGCGCTCATTAGAACCTCCTTCATTAACTGGGCAGCTCTCTACTATCCTTTGTCTAACATCATAGGTGCATAGAAGCACTTCAAATCTTCTTACATCTAAACAAAGAAAAAACACTTGCCACATGAGAGTCTATAGTTTTTATATAGCAGTTTTCTTGACTGAATTGAGATAAAGTCTCCAGGAAAAATAACTTACCAGTAAAATGTGATTTGAGTGCTTCACAAGAGCATTGTACTTGCTCACTGCATGGAGAAAAGGAGCACAATACCCCATCTGGTTTCAACATTTTTCTAGTAGAAGGAATGACTTGATATGTTTGTTTGATTCATGATTTAGTAGTTTGTGTAGTTTCTGTTAGTTGTCATCATGTTATGTTTCCAAAGAGGCGAGGAGACTTGTTCTCTTTTGTCTCTGTTTGTGAATAATAAAGTTCGAATTATGGTTTAAATGTTTATTCAACTCCCTTTTTCTATGCAATCAATGAAAAGACTATATCTCAAACTTTGGTGTTAAGCTGTTAGATATGATATCTTGTGTAGTAGTTACAAATTTGATATATGCTATTGCACATTTGATCTCAAACGTGATGATCCAAATGACAAACTATTCTTCTCTCAACAATATTTTTCAAGCAATTTTGGGTGAAGAATGCTCAAAAGGCTGATTTGATATGTTTGCTTGTATGATATGCATTTACAGATATACTAAAATACTTCATAGATGAGACTATACATATGTGACGACCCGACCCATCGTCACGTGAGTTGCCGCCGCGTTTCTCCCATTTCCTGCTTCTTTATGCTTCATTATAAGATCTTGTGTGAACGAGTCGATTTGGATTGGTTTTAGAAGGAAATGAGACACTTAGTCTCTTTAAGGAAGGTTTGGTTTGGAAAAGTCAAACGGATGTTGACTTATGAGTTAGAGGGCTCGGATGTGATTTCCGGTGATTCGGCTAGCTTCGGGGGATGATTTGTGACTTAGGAGCGTGATTGGAAGTGATTTTGCTGGCCCGGTGTAGAATAGGCTTGAATTGGCGAAGTTAGTATTTTGGCGAATTCCGATTGATAGGTGAGATTTTGATCCGAGGGTCGGAATGGAATTTCGAGAGTTTCAGTAGCTTTGTTAGGTGATTTGGGATGTGTGTGCAAAATTTCAGGCCATTCGGAGGTGTTTTGGTCGGGCTTTCGGATCAAATGCGTGTTTCGGAAGTTTTAGAAGGACTTAGGCTTGAATCCGATGTAATTTGATGGTTTTGGTGTTGTTTGTGATGATTTGATGATTGGAGCAAGTTCGAATGATGTTTTAGGATGGATTGGCACTTCTGGTTGAGGTTCCGGGGGCCTCGGGGTGATTTCGGATGGCCATCGGGATGAATTTTGGACTTGTGTTATTGCTGAGTTTTGCTGGTTCTGGTATTTCCGCATCTGCGGAAATAGGACCGCAGATGCGGTCTCGCAGATGCGGTGAGGGGCATCGCGGGTCCGCAGATGCGGACCTTAACCGCAGAAGCGGTCTTGGCTAATAGTGGAACTCTGCAGGAGCGAAATAATTTCCGCAAAAGCGGAAACCGCAGAAGCGGTTTATTGATCGCAGAAGCGAAAATGTCTGGACAGAAAAAGGGTTTTAAAGTTTCATATTGTTCCGCGAGCTAAGGTATTTACCACCATTTTTGAACATCCTTGAGAGCTTTTGGACGAGAATTGAAGGTGATTTCGACTGGGATTGATTGGAGGTGAGTTCTATGACCTAAATACATGATTTAGTGGTAGAATCAACCTAGAAATTCATGAAAATTTATCAAAAAGGGGGAAGAACTAGGGCTTGAGTTTTGGTATTTCAAATTGGGTTTTGATGGGTCATTTGAGCTCGGATTTGGGAGTTCTTGATATGTATAGACTCGTGGCGAGATAAGGAATCCGTTGATGTAAAATTTGCTGGAATTCGAGAAGTGGGCCCGGGGCTCGGGTTTTGCAAATTTCATGATTTTCGATGTTTTTTCAATTCCTTTCGATTGGGTTATGTTCCCTTAGCCTATTGTGATGCATTCGTTGCGGTTTTGATCAGATTCGACACGCGAGGAGGCCGATTTGAGAGGCAAGGGCATAGCGAGCTAGGATTTTGGCCGGCTTGAGGTGAGTAATGATAGTAAATGATATCCTGAGGGTTTGAAACCCCGGATTTGCACAACGTAGTGCTATATTTAGGTGAAACACGCGCTTAATGACGAGCGCGGGGTTGTTTACTACTGGGGATTATGACTTGGTCCGTCCCGATTGATATTTTTACCGTGTATTTGACTGAGATATAATGGTTATCAACATGATTTGGGCCTATTGCCATATTTTGGGCTTCATGCCGACTACTTGAATCCTTCGTGGATTTTTATCACTGTTTCCTCACTATTTTGATATACCACTTGAACTCAGTCCTGTTGATTATACTATTTTACAAACTCAGCTGCTTTAATTGAACTTTGAGACTTAAATGATATTTCCACTGTTGTTTGGGCTGAGCACAACTATTTTATTGATGCCCGAGGGGCTTATGATGCTTTCTGGACTGAGGAGGCTTTCAGGCCTTGTGAATGATGTGAGGAGGCTTTCAGGCCTTGTGAGTGATGTGAGGAGGCTTTTATGCCTTGTAAGTGATGTGAGGAGTCTTTCAGGCCTTATGAGTGATGTGAGAAGGCTTTCAGGCCTTATGTTGATATAGCGCTTGGGCCGTAAGGGGCCCCTCCGGAGTCTGCACACCCACAATGAGCGCAGGTACCCACATGATCTGAGAGTGAGCCCGAGGGGCTGATATTATGCTAAGTGACTGATATTGAGCCCGAGGGGCTGATACTCTTCTGAGCGATTGATACTGGGCCCGAGGGGCAGATTTCTACCCACTATTTACTTGTTGTTTTATCTGATTTACCTGTTTTTAAAAAGGAGATTTCATTTGACCTTTACTATTTTATTGCTTTAAGTGATTTACTGCTTGATATAGAATTGCCTTGTGCACTAATGTGTTTTCATGCCTTCGGTTATTATTTATTATAATTACTCACT